TTTTTTTTTTTTTTTTTTGAATAATTATATTACATGTGAATATGAAAATTCAAACAAATTAAGAATTCTTTATAAATCATAATAAATTTGAAGAATCTCTGACTTTATAAATACGTCACCAAAATTCTTTGGTATTCTTTAAGGAAATTGGTTGGTGGAGGAAAGAAAAAAGTATTTAATAAATTTGACCTATGAAAATTATTATGTTTTGGAGTTTAGCGTAACAACTTCAGCTTAAGATAGTAGTTAGTTCGAGACATGTAATTTTGTGTAAACACGTATATAATAGATGCCTGTAAAAATGACTGAATTTTTACGTATAAAAAATAAAAACGTCAATAATGGATTATATTGTGGTCAACTGAGTATTGATAAAAATAAAATTATTAGTCAACCTATTTTGATGACTAAAAAATGGTCCAAGTGAATGTTTTTCTGCCACCGTTGTATTGATGTTTTTTAGTTAATAATCAATGACTAAAATTGCAAGAGTGAATATGTGATTTGTGATACTTATAGGACCTTCAACCGCGAGCTCACTAAGCAATGCTATAAGTCCAATAGAAGTCCAATGCTTCATCTACTACAGACCAGGAAGTTCTTGGAGGAGCTAAAACGAAATGAGAAATACATTCGATTACGGCAACTAATAGATAGCGAACTTTTTGGTAGAAACTTAATGATCCTTTGGCTCATGCAAGAAAAGAAAAAGGTAATCGTACTCCTACCTTTTTCGTCCCACGATAGGCAAGTTTGAGCAGAAAGATTGAATCGTCAGACGTCCTAAATTCTTAATTGGGTGTTTGTTTCACGATTTTGTGGAAGGTTTTGAGGAGAGAATTGGGAGGGGCGCTATAAGCTCATGATCTGCGCACGGAATTAATTCATTGTCGAAAAAAATTATCCGCAATATCCAAAGTCTACTAGTTTCAGATATTCTATTTTCAAACATTCCATAAATAAAACTACCAACCAAATGACATTAGGAAAAATACTCAAAACCAATCGTGAAATCCTACATCAGTTGGAGAGAGAACGAACATTTCTCGTAATGGTGTGAAAACCTCACCCTAGTAGACACATCTTAAAATTGTGAGGCTGACGACGATACGTAACCGACCAAAACAGACAATATCGATTAACGATGAGCTTAAGCATTTTGGAGAATTTTTGGTCATAAACATCAAAAAAAAAAAAAAAAAAAAAAAA